AGAAAAGAACATTGGGAACCATTAAGAGAGGAATAGAGAATAAGACAGAAAATATCATAATGCCACTATATAAATCCATGGTGTACCTACACCTTGAATACTGTGAGCAGTTCTGGTTTCCCCATCTCAAAAAAAGATACATTAGCATTGGGAAAAGTACAGAGAAGGGCAACAAGAATGATTAGAGGTATGGAACAACTTCCATGTGAGGAGAGATTAAAAAGACCAGGTCTGTTCAGCTTTAGAAAAAGAGGAGACTAAGGGCAGATATGATAGAAGTCTATAAAATCATGACTGGTGTGGAGAAGGTGAATGAGGAAGTGTTATTTGCCCCTTCACATAATGAAGAATCAGGGGTCACCCACTGAAATTTATAGACAGCAGATTTAAAACAAACATGAGGAAGTACTTCTTCGCACAATGCATAGTCAACCTGAGGAACTTGTTGCCAGGGGATGCTGTGAAGGCCAAAAGTATAACGAGATTCAAAAAAGAACTAGATAAATTGATGGAGACTAGGTCTGTCAACTGCTATCAGCCAAGATGGTCAGGGACCCAACCCCATGCTCTGGGTGACCCTAAACCTCTGATTGCCAGAAGCTGGGACTGGATGACAGAATGGGTTACTCAATAATTGCCCTGTTCTCTTCATTCCTGCTGAAGCATCTGGCATGGGCCACTGTTGGAAGACAGGATACTCGGCTAGATGGACCATTGGTCTGACCCTGTATGGCCATTTTTGTGGTTTTATGAATTTAAGATTTTCCATTCCAAACTTTTAATAATCTTTGAAAAGCATAGCAAAAAGAGGTGTACTTTATTGGGCTGCAGTGAGTGATATCGTATATATGGTACCAATTCTTACCAAGGAAAGCATGTAAAGCCCGTAACAAATTAGACATTAGCCTTTGATGTTATAGGTCTTTTGACAGGACCCTAAAATTAGCAAACCATAGGTATATATTAATGAACTATGAGGTAAAATAAAAACTAGTCTATTGAAATGTATGCATAGCATTAATCAGAGATACATTGGCAGATCAATTAAATTTTACAAAAATTGGGAGGGAGGAGAATAAGGGACTAACTGTAATTGGATGCAAGAAAAAGTTTAAGGGTGTTTTATATCTGAATGAAGAGATTGTATGGCTGCTGATCCTAGGAGAAATCTATTAAATGCTTCCACATTTTGTTTCATACTTTGTGCCACAACAGCAGAGGAGGCACTTTGAACACAGCCATCTTGGTTCCAAGCCATTTTTCTTACCTTCTCCTAAGAAGTCCCCACTGCATTGTCATGCATCTTGTACTGACTGCTACAGTAAAGATGGCAGGTAATTGTGAGATCCCTTTAGCACTTGGCTCTGGAAAATGAAATGGCTGTTTCTTGGAATGCAAGTTTTATACTTCTTGTGATGATCCACGCATGCCATCTGTTTCCAAACAAGGTGGTAACAGAGGTCATTTCATGATATAAATGGCCTTCATTTTACCATTTTAAAATATGACAGGAGTTTAAGGATGGAGGTTAATTATATTGGCCATTCCACTAATATCACAGACATGTCAAAGGTATTATCGTCAATTTATGGCCAGTAAGTCCAATCTGTCATGTTAATGCTGCCTATAGTACATTTTCCTGCTCACCTTTGCATGCTTATTAGGTGAAATGTACAAAAGATTCTAGGAAAGAAAACGTTGCACAGCACCAGCCACTACCATCTGCCTGATATAGCCAGAGATGAAGTAAAAGCCTTACCTCGTTTTGCAGACACCAGTTAATGTAGAAACCCTTTGCTTTACCAGAAGTCCATTTCCACGCTTTCTCCTTCCCCTCTTTTCCAAAGGGAGCTGTGAATGCTTTCGGTTGAGTCTCTAATTTATGAAAGTGGAAATAATGTAATCCCATCTAGGAATGAAGGAATCTCCAAAATGTGGGGCTTCAGATGCTTATCTCATCTAGCCAACTCATAGGTCTGAACATTTAACAAGATTTTGGCACTTTGTTCCAGTCCAGTTTCAACTAGAAGATACCAAACCTATTTTTGAGGGTCAAATAAGATCAGAGGTTTGGGAACATGGGGGGGCGGGAGGGGAAAGACAAGAGATTTTACCTTATCTCCACCAATTAGTCTTCTCATATCCTACTAGTGTATTAGTACAAAGTGTCATTGAATGTGAGTTGAGCTTCCATTCGGTGCTACCCCTTTGTCACCAAAATACAGTTCACAGGTATAACATTGCGGGAAAAAGGTCTAAGGTCAAGGAGATAACATTGCAAAAGCAAAATGTTATGGGAACAAATCTGCAGTTTGTGTAAAAGTATCCCTGCTCATTTCTAGAATAGGACAGTGCACTCCCTGCAGATTATGAGGTTGGTGGGTGAGGTAGGTCTTTAGGGCTGAAAGATTAAATAAAATAGTGATATAGGATTTTGTCATCTTGGAAGGAAAGACGCAAACGTTAAAAAAATCGAAAGCTTTGCAGCTTAAGTTAGTTTTGCTTTATGATGTATTTTAAATATTTTAACCAAGTTATCCCTGGGTTTGTTTTCTCCTTTAATAACTGTTTTATTCTGGAAATAATCCTTGTGTTACCCTGGACCCCAAAGGAGTATTTGAATGATTGTATGGGTTTGAAACAGTGCATTCTGCTAGCCAAGCAGATGTAATCATGTCTCCCTCTAGTGGCTGGCCCACAAAGAGTGGCAGCCTGATGCTTACTCATATTCTTCAAATAGTGGGAGCTTGCATTATCTGTACTGAGTTCCTACGACCTGTCCCCATCAACATCAATTGTCATATATTCGTCACACTAGGATATTGTTTTCAGTGTCTTATTTATTTTATCATCCAGTGCAAATACTCATGTAATAGAAAATATAAATGAATAATTTTGTATTTAAAGTCAAACATGCTTATTTTTCTGGAAAATGAACTTGTATGTGAAAAGGCCACCTATGTATAACTTCTGTATCTAATCTGGGGAGCTGCGGTCACATCCATACACCTTTCAGGCAAAAAATAGACTAGGATTCAGTTTGGTTTTGGGAATATTTGAAGAATCAAGAGTAACCTGAAGAGAACTAGTTCATTTCAATAACTCTCCTTTTCAATATATCGACTCAAAATATTTTTTCTGGTGCTTACAGCTTATATAGTGGGATTGGGGGAAACCTGTAAATTGTATAAAATAGGCTTGACCATAAATAACTTAAAGATTTCAGGATCATTCCATAATCTGTATTTTCAATCATCAGCAGCAGCAGGCAATAATCCTAGAGGGAAAAATCCACAAATAGACAAACCAATTTTCCTTTAAGAGCAAAGCTAATTCTTTTCAATCCACTTTTTTATTGCACTGTTTTACCTCTATCTGTTTAGCTAGCATAAGGATAAATTTCCAAAGCTACCCAGTTGGAAAATAAATGGGTTCACTGTTTGTCTAGCATTCCAATCTTTACAAATGTAAATCAGTCCAACTGCTACTCATTTAAACCGCCAACTTCACAAAACATTAAAGGGCTGCTTTCAATACACAATTTAATCTGCAACAATTCACCAAGATTTCTGTTTGAACATCATTAGAAATTGACTATCTGATAAAGAGAGACCACTAGCAAAGGTCATGAGGGTCACCTTCTGTAATTATACGAAGTTTTACTGGGTCAACTACAGCAGACACCACTATTTGAAGGTTAAATTGTTACAATTAAATACATATACAGCTATTCCCATAGCTACTCTGTTGTTAAATGTACCGTAAACAACACAAGCATTCATTTCTGACCCTAATTGTGTCCAAGATGTCCCCACTTGGAAATTATACAGGAAAGAACATTATAATCTGTTACACATGAAACAATACTTTATATGGTAAGATGCATAATTAGCTGATGGAAACTGGTTTCATTTATCCACATCAATCCAAAGGGGTTCATTTGGGTTACTCTCTTTAGTTTAATTAGAATGCTGCAAGCAAGGGCTCCCAATATGTGTTATAGCTGGAGAGTTTGCCATAAACAAAGGAATATAATCCTGTTGCAAAATCAGTCATTAATGAAACTTTTTTCTGTATACTAGGCCCCTCCTTGTTGTTCACTAGATGTGTTAAAAAGCACTTCTTTGTTTTTAAAATGATGTATATAAGTAGCCTGATAATCATGCACACATTGCCTAGATTGAAATTATTACTGAAGTTTGAAACTAGATAGTTGAGGTAAACGTGCTTTCTACTCCTCTGAGACAATAAAATACAATTATACAATATTGTTTTCTTGGCAACCAAGGTCTGAGACATTTACTAGAAAACTGGGATATGTAGACTGCTGTGTCACAAAGTGGGAAGAAATTACAGCTATTTAGTAACTAAATTTACAGTTGATTCCTACAGGTAAACCTGTGTGTGTCTACATATGCCTACATGTGTTTGTGTGTATACACACAAACATATATAGATGTAATTATATATACACACACATTAAAATGTTTTGATTCAAAGGACATTTGAATTTAGTGGCTATTGGCACTGGAATATAGTATCATGATAATTTACCATTTGTATAATACATAACTGTGTGTTAAGCATTCAACAGCATATGATGATATCATCCTTTTTCTGATTTGTGTAAAGAATTAGATTAACTTTACATTCAGCCCGTGGTCTTGGATATTATCCTGTTTTATCGGTGCAGGTGTGACCTGATCTAAGGCTCTCATAGACTTCAGTGGGCTTTCAGTCAAACTCTTGGCTGGGGGACCAAAAAGCACTCTGATGCACCAAATTTTGTTGAAAGCAAGGAATATATTTAGATACCAGCATAAATCCAAAGCTGGGCTTTCATGCACTGTTTTGCACAATGTTGCATCAGACACAAGAAATGTATGCTGCATCGTCCGTAGAACAAAATTATGAACACTTACGGTACAACTTTTTAGATTTAAGATCACATTGTTCCATTGTAAAACTACCTTTTCTTTTCTTTGTTGTTGTATTTTCAGATTTTGTGTTGGAGACAAATTTTTCCTAAAGAACAACATGATTCTGTGCCAGACAGACTATGAGGAGGGTTTAATGAAAGAAGGTTACGCACCCCAGGTTCGCTGATCTGCCACCACGTCGTTAAGAATATAAAGCACTATGTTCTTTTATCTTTTTTGCTCAACATGTATATAAGAAATGACACAGGATCCTACTGAATAGCGTAGATATAGAGAGACAGGATGGTCGCGTGGAATAAAAGGCGGACTGCATATGTATGTAGTGAAAATTGCTCCAGTTCAGAGTTGAATGTTTATTAAAAAGGTAACTGTACATACTGCTGGATTTTTATTTTATTTTATTTTATTTTTGGGAGCTTGCTATTGTTTTGTTTTCCTTTTTGTGTCATTTGGCATGAGATGTTTATTTTGGACTATTGTATATAATGTATTGTAATATTTGAAGCACAAATGTAATACAGTTTTATTGTGTTACCATTTGTGTTCCTGTTTGCTTCTTTGTATTGTTGCATTTAGTACAATCACTGTCTAAACTTATTGTATATTTATGCTTTCTGTATCTACCAGCTATTTTAAATTAGCTGTATCTTTCTAGTAAAAAGAATTAAAGAGCAAATCCCAACCATTATGCTATAGTTAAGAGCTTAAAATACTATTTACATTACAACTATTTAAAAAATAATAATTCTAGCAGCAACCACTGCAAACAATGCTATGGTTAAGGGTCTATCAGCACTTGTGTTATAAGCCTCTATTTTTCAGGGGTTAAACCTCAGCTGTTTAATTGTATAGATCTCCTCCAAGAGCACTTTTATTTTATTACAAATTTTTGAAAAACAAGTCTGGCTGGTTTGGGACGTATTATAGAAGGCGCAAAAGTGAATGATTTTGGGTGCTGCTTTTGTGCTGCTAGATGTTCAAAATAAGTTTGTTTTATTTTTAAATTAGCTGGAAATTAGGCCCTAATGCAAACCAGTGCCTTTGGGTATCTTGTAACATATATATATTCTGAAGTTGTTTAATTTGAAAAAGTGACTTCTGCTCTTGTGCAGAGATCTTTTGTAAGATCAAATTTCTTAGGCTTTGAGGTTTGTTTTTTGAGGGGTTATTTTGTGGTGTTTTGTTTTTTTGCATTAAGACTTAACCTAACTTTTCATGGAGAGTTGTGTGGCTGCGTCCTAAGTGACTTGTTCTAAAATGATAAGGTTAGAAGGCATCAAGAACAGCTTCAGTTATAGGGTCTGTATACATTAGAGAAAAGGCCCTTTTAGCTGACAGTAGGAAAGTGACTTATTGCTGACAACTACCCTCGGTGGCTATTGAAGAAGACAATTTAAGCGCTGACATAGATGGGACAATACTTTTAAATATCATTACAGAAAACAAGAGATGCCACATTCCTCCATGTACAAATTGTACTGTTTGCGATGGTGTAAAAAAATTCTGTCCTCCCTATGCTGGCAATTAAATAATCTTCAACACCTGGTAAGAGTGGTGGGGCCCCTTTCCTGGCAATCACGGTCAGGAACAGGCCCATCTCCTAGCGGAGATGGAGCTACATTTTAAAGTTGCGAGACTGTTGCCTCAGCAGCAGGCCCCAAAGTATTCATATTCCTGGCAGAGTTTAATAACCAGTTAGGCTGAGGTGAGAACTATGAAGGGATAACATGTAACAAATGGGCTAAATGCACAGTCAATCCTTTCCTCTTTGGCACTACTAAAGCTCACCAGGAAAATAGCCTGTGTTTAAATGACTGACTGTCTCGTGTGAGGCCATGAAATTTGGGTTTTCTTTCCACTAAGAATCTTATACACAAAGTACATCAAAGATCTTTGTGTTCCCTCTGTTGGTTTGATTTATAGTTGCAATGCTTTCCTGAGCTCCTCCTGTTATCTCTTTCTGTAGTCACCATGGTGGAGGGGAGGAAATTCCTTAGTATCTATTGTGTGAGTTCTGAGTAGACTGCACAATGGATTGATTTGGAGATAGATTTTTAATCCCAATATCTGAATTTCCAAATATGTCCATCTAAGAGAGATTTAGCATTATAATATTGTGGCTTTTTGGTATGGATATGAACCCAGATTAAAACTAAGGGCTAGTCACAAAGCTTAACTTTCACTGATCTAGAACATGGAGGAAATGAATGGTCACTAATATCATAGTTCATTCTAGTCAGAGAAAACAGTCCCGTTCAAAGGTTCTCAAAATTTTCAGAGTACAGACCACATCTTAATTGAGAGATTGTGGTGTGGACCATATCTTCTCCTATTTGTGATCCCATGAACCTCTTCCACTCCCATTCACAGTTACATAATACCTCTGTAGTGACCACAGCACTTGTTTACATGGAAGGGTCATATTAGGAAGGTATTTACATATTTGCTTCAGTGGTAATAAGTGTTTTTGCCTTTTTAGAAAAACATAAATCACAGTCTCCTGTTGTTCCTCATTCCACCTCCCCACTCCAACCTGTTTTGTTACTTTCAGCTAGACACAAGAATGACTTGCTAGCTCTTCACAGACCACAATTTGGGAATCTCCAATCTAAGAGTCAGGGCAAGGGATGGGAATTAAGAAACCTGGGTTCTGTCCTGGACTTGCTGTGCCCGTGGGCAAGTCACTTAACTTACCTGTGCCTCAGTTGTCCCATCTGTAAAATGGGGATAATATTTACACTGCTTTTGTAAAGCGTTTTTGGCTCTTCAGATTCCAAGAGGAATATGTGCAAAGTATTATTAAGAGCATTAGTTTATACTGGGAAAAGTTAGCGGAGCATTTTTTGAAATGCTAAGTAGGTGGTCACTTTTGTAAATTAAAGTCAGTCATAGACATGAGGGAGAAACAAATTGAAAACAGTTAATAATCTATTGAAGGCTTTTGGCATATGGCTTGAAAGCAGATAAATGGCATTAGTGTTGTAAACTTAATAGCAAGCTCTTGTTAATACAAAGTACCACTGTTCAGATCTGTACAGGATTAGTGAAGAGAATGGATTGTGGAGTATGGGTGGGAGAAAAGTGGCTCTCGTGTGGGCTTGTTGTCTGATATATATGTATCAGGCACATACATATAGAAAATAAGTGTCTGGAGAATATTACAAAATATATATATAGCCCTTGATTTGGGGACAGGGTCAAGAGAAGAAATAATTTGAAGTACGTGCAAATGTGCAACATCCTACCTTACATAATTTTAAAAATTGGAAATCTAAAATATTTAACTGAACCATTACCAGAGTACAAAAGACAATGTTAAAGAGGGGTGATCTTTCTCTGAGCAGCTTTACTGATCAGTTTAGCTGAAGCCTAACCCTACCCTCATTTTCTTTTTAATCATCCACCTCTGTTTTGGCCTCTTCGTTGCTGCTTGTGATTAAATTCTCTGTTTGCATATGAAGAAACGTTCTGTGGTTCAGCTTGTGCTTGTTTGTCAGCCAAGACTGCTTCCACTAGCATCTTCTGCCTGGCTGTATTCTCTCTTCATGAATCTCTAAATCGAGGTAAACTGATGTTTTAAACAAATTATATATCTACCTAGTTCTTGCACTGCTGTTTTCTAACCCACCTGGTGACGTAAAAACAATCAAACCGTATTGTTTCAATTGTAGAAAGACCCTCTACCAACTGCTACTTTAACATGCTGTGTCTCTGCTGCTGCTGACAAATCAAGACTGCTTTGGCTCTGCAAGAGCAGTGACTGAGGTTGAAAGTTGATCGGTGTTTTTTGTAATTACACTTTCATCTTGCTTAACAAATTTTTATTTCACACACACCTTTCCCTCCCCTCCACAGTGCTCAAATTTGTGCACACCAAAAAAGTGGCATGGGGGAACCTACCACCATTCCCTCAAATGTACTTAATTGCCAACATATGAAATGACTTAAAGAAAAGAGAAAGACAAGGTGCATGAGGTAATATCTTTTAGTGAGCCAGCTTCTTTGGTGAGAGAGACAAGCTTTCGAGCTTACACAGAGCTCTTGTCTCTCTCACCAAGAGAAGTTGGTCCACTAAAAGATATTATCTCACCCACCTTGTCTCTCTCATATCCTGGGACCAACACAGCTACAACAACATTGCCCACATTAAATAAAATAGAAAGAAAAGTGGGCAGCGAGGAGGAAGATTGTGAAAAACAAGAGGGATCGGTAAGGTTTAGCCTGTACAGACAAAGTACTTAAAGGCTTTTTGCAACATAATATGCAGCAGCTTCTTATAATTTTCTCAGCGGTCGGTAGTTTACAGTCATCTGTACCTAGAACAAATCTTGTCAAAAAATGAAGGTCTGTAGTGATTGCTGGGTATAATTTTATACATTTAACTGATTCTTCTGAAAGCTTCAACTGTGCTGCTGTTGTCAGACTAAATTATCAATTTATCCATTTGTTGTTTAATGAATAAAAAAATCCTCCTAAATCCTATCAAACTGGCTTTGGAGATGTTGTGGTTTCAATAAACAATAAGCTTTAATGACTCAAACTACAGAAAGCAAAGTGTGTACTGTATACAAAAGCAGTGTTTTTATTCTTTTAAATACCACTTTAGATAAAAAGCCAATTACATATTCACTTAAATACATTTCTTCCCCCAACCCCAGATATATAGACCAAAACCTGTTTAGTGTTCGCTTCAGTACATTGCAAAAAGAAACCATAACACAATATACATGAGGTAATAGGCCATTAGCACAAACATGTTCCTCATATAATCCTTTTGTATAAGAACCCTTTCTAGAAGCTGCCAGTTGTGGGTGATAGAAGTATTATAAAGGAAGTGATTTTAACACTGTTTAAGTCATTTAAAGCCAAGGCATGTCTGTTTAAAGCCTTAATGGAAAGGTTGGATGTACCCAGTACCTTTAAAATGCCCTTCTGCTGATTTATATTCATCCTGAACTGGCTAATAATGAGTATACATAAGCAAATATCTTCTACCTATTCAGCATGTCATTGGTATGAAAGTCCCAGAAAATATCTCACGTAATCAATGTGTTCGGAGAGTTATCTAGCACAAATTACTCATTAACTCAATAGCACATAATAAAAAAGAACATCAATTAATTAATGAGTCACCCTCAGATCACTTTGATTACAACACAGCTCTGTTGAAACAGCAGTTATAAATGGAGCTGCCTGGCTTTATTCATTGTTTGCAATTGGCCCATTATTTTGCTGAGACCGGTGTCATATTTAACACATGCCTGCAGGTAATTGTGTGATTAGTTTCATAAATGAAGAGGCAAAGGCAGCACACAGAATATCATGCTTTACAGAGAAGCCTAAACAATCAGGAAGCCACAATACTTCCCACAATGCTTGCAAACCGCTGTCGCATGAAGGCATTGAACTGCACCTGTGTTTCAGGTTCTTTATTATATTTTAATGCATACAATTGCCATAGTGCTTTCAAAGCCCTGTGCAAACATAATTCAATTATGCATCCCAACATCCTGTGAGGCATTATCTCTATTTTACAGATGAAAATATTGAGGCACAGAGGTTAAAGGATTTGCCCACAATCACACTGTCAATCTATGCAACCCAAACCCAGCATTAGCAGGGCTCCTAAATGTGCTGCCCTAATCACTTTACCAGGATC